ACACACACACACACACACTCACACACACACACACACAGAGACACACATACACACACACACACACACACACAGAGTTAATATAGTTAAATAAATTAGTACATTTATTTTCAGTCATGTTAATGTCATCCACAGGGTGATAAAGGACAAAGAGGACCCATGGGAGAAGTTGGAAGCCGAGGCTCCCCTGGAAAGGTTGGGGAAAGTGGCCCTAAAGGCGCCAGAGGAACAAGAGGTGCTGTGGTCAGTATTTGATTTCCTTTCAGCACTGAGTCACTGTGGATGGAAAAGAACTGTATCCGTGTTCTTAAAGCGTCATCCTTGATTGACTTTACAGAGGATGCAAAGGTTCCGTTGAAAATGATCTACCTCTGTGGGATGGCGGGAATCGCAGGCATTCCACGCAGCATTAAACAGCTTAGTGGGTTTGGGACATGCCAAAGGAAAGGGAAAGCCGAAAATGGAAATAAAATATGAAATGAGGTTTTAGAAATCTGATTTGGACTCCAAAGTTAAGTTTATACACTGAGCTCTTCAAATCAGGGTTTAATATCCGTCTGAAGCTGCCATCATGTTGGCAAATTGCTTTGAAAATTAAGTGAACTTGAGATGTGTTTCCATCCACCGCTTAGACCCATCCTGCTTGAACTTGAGGTTATCTTTCTAAACAGCTGGGAGAAATCTGCCCAACAGTTATTTATAGTTCATCTTTTGCATGAACTTTGCCTGACATGGGGAGCTGAAGAGTGACTCTTCTGAACCTGTGACAGCAAAGTTGTGCTGCTGGTGTGTGCTTGACCTACCCAGAAAATGCTAGATACCCAGAAGATAATCTATGTTCCATGAACTTATTTATAATATGCAGGTCCGTTAACTTCATCTCCGTTTAAGTACTCCATGCCAGGCCTGTCACCAAGGCAAAGAGACCATGGCATAATCTGTTTGCTTTCTCAAGAAAATTTGCCATTACTTACTGACACCTTGGCACCCAGGTCTTAAGTCATTTTATGTCACTATTTCTCTGCCTTTTGCCTACGTTTTAAAAACATTATATAACTTGATTAATTGTTTTTAATAAACATAAGGATTAATGCGGGCCAAATTTTGCCTTTAATGTAAGCTTCTACTTTGGAATTTTTCCTGTAAAGTATTCATCTTTAAAATTTTATTATATTTTAATTAAAATGTAATTATATCATTTCCTCTCTTCTCTTACCTTCCTGTGTCCTCTCCCTCCAAACACTCCTATGCCCCCACTCCCTCTCAAATTTATGGACTTCTTTCCTTATTATTATTACATAAAACTACAGATGCACAAATATACACACATAGCCTGCTGAGACCATTTGCCAAAGCTACAGCCCTACTGACCATATTTCATATTAATTGACTTAGTGTTTGATAATCTGATAAATGAGAATATATATGTAATTTTTGCTTTTGTATTTAAATTTTCCTTGTTATAATTACGTAATATATGCTCTTTCCTCTGAAAATTTCCTGTTAATTCATATATATGTGTGTGCATATGTATATACATGTATAAATACATGTACACATTACATATTTCTATTTGGTGAGTATTTTTTCTTGCTGATTTGAAGCCATTACTCATAAATCTGGTGATTATATAATTTGTCAAAAGTTACAAAATAAAATAAATGATTCCATTTCTGCCAATTATCTATTAATTTTGGGTCTTTCAATGAGTAGAACATTTTAATTTTAATCATCAAGGTTGTTGATATTTTCCTTTATATTTTCTGGATTTTATTCTTCATTAGAAATTCTATCCCCACCTAAAGTATGCAAAATTTTCATCCACATATTATCCCAATATGTTTATAACATTGTTTTTAACTCTTTAAGCCCTGTGGAGATTTTTTTGTTTTCTTAGTTATGGAAGATAGATATCTGTTTGTCTCCCCCAACTTATTGTCTTCTTAATTCTGTTATTGAACACTATATGTATTTTCCACTTTCAGGTAAGACTATTTTTACTGTGATTAAACACAAATATTCATTGGTTTCATCAGACCGTCAGTCTATTTCTGTTCTATCATGCTGCTGCATCCATTGAGATCTGTTAGAGCAGGCACTCCATGGTTCCTTGCTTAGAGGTGCCTGGCTCTGATCCCATCTTACTGCGAACTTTAGCATCAGCTTCTTGGTTCCTCCCTATACCTGGCTGTCCTACGAGAAGCACGAGGTATCTTTCCACTTGCTCATTGCTCTCGAATTTCCGTTTACTCCTCTGACTTATTGCACTTGGAGGGCAGTAAGGACTGAAGTTCTCATGATGAGAAGCTGAACTGTCCCTAGGGAGAATGCTCCTGAGGTTTCATGGTTGAGTTTCATTTTCAAAATACACTTTTTTCCTATAGAAAAATGTCCTTTCCTTCTTAAATGACACTTTCAACAAGGAGATTTTAAATTTTACTAAATTTTACAACATTTGTTTATATTAGAGTTTCAGTTATTGCAGTATGGTCTTGATCCATTTTGCATTTGTTTGTGAGCAGGCAGAAAGATGTGGAATTCTTCCACATATAGATACCAAGTTCTCCCTGCACTGTTGTTTTCTCTCTTGTGCTTTTCCTCTGCCCATTTCTCCTCCTTTTGCTTCTTATTCACACACTTGATTTGAAAAGTCACCATGCCAATTTACTCTAGCAGTAGGTGGGCTCTTCCCTGTCCTTCCCTTCCTGGGGTGAAGCTTAAGTGACTTGAATGCATTTTAGTGAGAGCTTATGTGTCTGTAAATGCTGCCTGCTGTGGATGCACAGATTAAGATACACAGGGCTAGGATAATACAGGTTAATTTTATTCTGGGAGAAATCACTTACATGAGAAACCCATAACACACAAGTTCCAGCTCCGAGGATCAATGCCCAGGTGCTCTTTGTGACCTGCCCAGAACCAAGAGACAGCAAGCCTATCCCGGACCCCAGACCAAATCCCACACACTCGCATGCATAGACACCTGTGGTCAGCGCCACAGATGCTGGCTAGTTGGATCTTTCACTACAGCCTGCTTCTCCCTCTAAGCAGAAGTTGGCATCACAGAAGACTTACATAAGGATAACACACACACACACACACACACACACACACACACACACCAGACTTAAAAAGAAATACAACCGAGGGACACATCCATCCCAACAGATGTGTAGATCACAGCAAGAAACACACAGAATATTCGAGAACAAGCCACTCAGACATCTCCAAAACCTCAGAGACCCTCAAAAACTGAACCCGAAGATAATGAAATAGCTGAAATGTCAAAAAAGTTAAAATCTTCCACAAATGTTCAATGGCCACAGGGAGGCCCCTTTTGTTCTTTGTTTAGTAAATACATTTTAATCTACATTTTTCTGTCTGTCTTGTTTTTATGTTGGTGTTTTCTCAGCATCCACTTTGAATGCTGAGATTTTTGTTTTCTTTTCAGGAAGAGTTGTTCTAACGATTTTTTTTTTTCCGAGACTTTGAATGCTGAGATTTTTGTTTTCTTTTCAGGAAGAGTTGTTCTAACGAATTTTTTTTTTCCGAGACGGTTTCTCTGTGGCTTTGGAGGCTGTCCTGGAACTAGCTCTTGTAGACCAGGCTGGTCTCGAACTCACAGAGATCCGCCTGCCTCTGCCTCTCGAGTGCTGGGGTTAAAGGCGTGTGCCACCAATGCCTGGCCCTCTCTAACAAATTTTTAATTTAAGTAGATTCCCTTTTAAAGTCTCTTGCTCCTTCATAATTGTGCCTCATTGTATTCAGAGAATGCAATCCGTGATTCCTTCTTGGAAGAACTTTGTTAAAACTTTGTTTGAGGCCATTATGTACTGAGCATTGTAAAGCTAGGTGTTGTCTATGGGTGTGTGAGAACAAAATTCCATGTATCTCTTTTATATAAAGCTCGTTCAAGGAGCTTCTCAAACCTCTGGCACTCTCCTCCTCTCCCACTGATTTTTAAAGATGTTGCTGGTACCCTGCCCATGCTCTTAACTCTTTGTCGGCCCCATGTTGAGCAGATACATTCTTGGGTACATTAAGGTGCCTTCACACATTTTATTTCTCCTAGAGGCGGTTCCCATTTATGCAGTCATTGAGCCAGCAGCCACCTTCAGTCACGCTGCCTTTCTGGACACAGTTACCACACTGCCTCATTTAACCTGTAAGGAAACCCTGATGCTGTCTGACACCAGAACAAGCAAGGAAACAGGAAAAGCTTCCTTTCCCAAATTAGTCAAGTTGACTCCACCCAGCCCCTTTGATCTCTTTCTTTTAGAGTTTGAAACTTCTTTGAAACAATTTGCACACCAGAAATAATTTTCTTCACTGCATATGTTCAGACCTAATTTGCCTCAAATCACAAAATTCGTGTTCAGAAAGTAGGCTTATCTTCCATAGTTAATTCAATTAGACAAATAAATATCTTTCCACTCTCACTCCCCCTCTCTTCCTCATGTCATTCATTCATCTTAATCCAATCTAATCTTCTTTAAAAAGCCTTAGCAATTTTTTTGTGTTTCTCTCAGTGGGTATTGTGACTGAATCACTACATTCCAGTATAAAAATGCCTGTAACATATGATGTCTGAATTCTTATTTAAATTGACTTTTCACAGTTCTTTCTCAAACTGAAATAAGTTCCAATCCAAATCTTTCTAAATTTCCTAGTTCATGGTTAATAATTGTGGCATGGGCTTTTCTTTAGCTATATAGCAAACTGTGCATTGTATGTGAAATGCACTGAAGCAGCTTGCTCAGGTGTCATGCTGCACACAGCTTCTCACATAGGTACACAGCAAACCCTATGCCTAGTCTGTGCCTTCATTTCCTTTCCTCCTCTTTGTTTTGAGATCCAAAGAGGAGGCTCCCACATTCGAACTCTGATAATATGAGAAATAGAATATTTTTACTGTTACTATGTTAGCTGCTTTTTACCTAAGTCATCTTTTTAATAGATGAGGAGCATTTCCTGATTAGTCTTTAAATGCCTTGGTCATCTATAAAATGCTGATAACAATATCTTATTATGGTAATGACACACACGTTGCTGGTATTTCTCATCTATCAATGTTGGCCTGTATTAAAGCCATGCTCCTGAAAGCATCTGGAATCATACATGAGGATGGAGCTGCTCTGAATCCCAGAATCACAATATCAAACACTATCAGGTTTTTCTTTCTGATACCCAGTGACCACAAACTTTGACAGACACGAACTGCATTTCCAAAAGCCTTCTAGGGGCCAGCAGTATTCCAATAAGTGAGCATGTTTTTATGTAAGTACATACCGGAAATGAATTGGAAATGTTGTTTGTGGGACTTCTGTAGCTCAGAAGAAACACAGACAAAAATTAGGAGTGTCATATTTCTGTTTCCCCAGTTATACTAGGTAGATTTCAAACTGTGAAAATCTAAGGGTAAATGTTTCAATAATAGACATGGATTCTCAATGATTCAAACAATCATTTACTTTCTCTCTCATGTTGATTTTGATTTTTAGGGTCCATTGGGATTGATGGGACCTGATGGAGAACCAGGAATACCAGGATACAGAGTAAGCATTTCTAGTTTTTAAAATTCTCTATATATTTATTCACAGGCAGGAAAGCATTTTAGTTCATATTATATTCCAAATGTGAAAATTAAAATTCACTTTTTCTTTATTAAGACCTTATTATAAAAAAGAATACAAATGAAAAACACCGTGCAATGAGATTAGATTCAAAGTCCACACATCTCAATAAACTTCTGTACAGTTAGAATGGCTACTGTGGAGCTTCATGCTGGATTTTATATCCTCAATATCACATATATGTCTACTCTTTTATCTACCACCAAAAAATGAAAGTTCCAGTAAATTTAAGAAAATAAAGTAAAATAAACCCTGTTATTTATAAAGAAGGTTCATAAAGCATTGTGATATGTCTAATTATCAACCTCCTATAAAGTGTATTTTAATTTTTTCTCAGGACACTACAACAACTAGTAGCATGGACTTGGTAGCATTAAATAAAACATGTATATGTGGTCTGGGGACTGTCTTGCTACTTATCCCTCTTTTTATAGGGCCATCAAGGTCAACCAGGACCCTTGGGATTGCCAGGACCTAAGGGAGAAAAGGTGTGTGTATTTGTGTGAGGGGGAGGTGTGTGAGGGGTGTTGTCCTTTTAATTTCAAAGTTATGTATTAAATCTGTAATTTCTTTCTAAATGAATGGATGGAAATATTGCAAGAACCACTTTTCAAACTGGAAAATTTGCAAATTCTAGAAGGATATAAATACCAAAAAAGTAAAATTCAAATAAATTATTAAAATATCTTCCATGGATTAATTAAAGATTGAGGTGAGACAGTGTGTGTGAAGGTACTTTGTGATACACACTTTCACAAAACCAAAATTATTTATTGAAAGATGTGATTGCTGAATGAAATGGCCACAGCACATAAATATCAACTTGGATTTAAATTTCCTAATGAGGTACGAATAACTATAGTATTATTCAGTTTATGGTTTAATTCAAAGTCTACATGTTGAGAAAAGTTCTGAGACACAGTCTATGTAATTAAAACAGATTAATACTTCCACTTAAAGTAAAAAACACATTAGGAAATAACAGAGTATTTTGAATGGACTTCTTAACTCATTTGTATTTTATAACTGTTGTTTTCATTGTAGGGCTACCCAGGAGAAGACAGCACAGTCCTAGGACCTCCCGGGCCCCGAGGTGAACCAGTAGGTCTTGTCTAAAATTATTTTGGTACCTCAGGATGAAATGCAATCGCAAGCTTTCAGTGCCGATCTTATCTTTCAAAGTTTTATTTGGTTAGTTTTATAACCTGCCTTTATAGTAAAGCAATATTTATCACTATAACATCTAAAGAATGTAAAAATCTTAGATATAAAAAATACATTAGTCAAGAATCTTAGCCAAGATGTATGTTTAAGAAAATTAATTGTGAATTCTAACTTTCAACATTGAACGCATGACAAATTTTTATGGAGATTGTCCAAAACAAATATGCTTTAGACATTTCAGTCAAATATTTCTTTAACCATCAAGATCAGATCTGTTTCAAAGTGCTTTTATAAAAATCTGATCTATATATGTTTATAATAATTTACACACAGTTGCCAAGTGATTTGCTAGCTTTTATAACCAGTTGGAGTTGATTGCTTTTCAAGACTGTGGACGTATAGTCTTCAAGTCCAACATTTAAAGACAAACGGTAACCACTGTTTTGAAAATTAACTACTAGTGTAGTTTTAATATATGAATAACCAATTCTATAATCTTTTAAGGCTAAAATAATTTGTGAACAGCATATATAAACTTAAGTCAGCAAATAATACTTAGTTCACAGAAATAAGAATATTGGTGATAATTATTTTTCACATAGTATCATTCAAAATAAAGGATTCTGGAAGCATGGTAAATATATAGTCCTAATATTTTGATCTGGCTGTATGGCTAGAGTCGCCATTGATATTTTACTGTAGAAAATAATACAGAAAATTCTAAAGTGTTTCAAGTTGAGACATTTCATATAGAAGCAGTCTCCTTGTGTAAATATTTGTGTGTTTCTGAAGCACGTTTTAATCTGCATAAACCACTTAGAGCAGCAGTTCTCAACATGTAGGTCATGACCCCTTCAGGGGGATCAGCCAACACTTTCACAGGGGTTGCATACCAGATGCCCTGTATATCAGATATTTACATTACAATTCATAATAGCAATATTACAGTTATGAAGTAGCAATGAAAACAATCTTGTTTTGTTTTTGTTTTTGTTTTTGTTTTTTTTGAAACAGGGTTTCTCTGTGGATTTGGAGGGTATGCTGGAACTAGCTCTTGTAGAACAGGCTGGTCTCAAACTCACAGAGATCCACCTGCCTCTGCCGATCTCAGTGTAGACCAGGCTGGTCTCAAACTCACAGAGATCCACCTGCCTCTGCCGATCTCGAAAATGATTTTATGGTTGGGGGTCACCACAACATGAGGAACTGCACCAAAGGGTCATAGCATTAGGAACATTGAGAACCACTGACTTAGGGGGAAATAATATAAAAACTGTCTAAAAAACAGAAAATATTGCCAAGTGGAGAATACTGTTTTCCCAGATTTGGGAATGTCAATAGAAAACTATCTGCTAAAACGTAATAAATACCTGTGCACTAAAATTAGAGTCAACTTTTGTGGGAATTCCCAGTAGACATGAGACAGACATGGGACTTAAACCAGATTCCCAGAATAAGACAGGATCAGGGCTTTTCTTTGCATTGTGCCTACTAACTGTTCACTAAGAGTAAGGTGATTTTATCTATCAGTAGTCTATAATAATCAGTCTATAATATCTCCTGCTTTTCCAACTTACCTCAATTTAAGTTTCTATTCAGACAGGAGGTTCTAGTCTTTAATAACTAATACTTTATGTAAATTTTAAATATTATAATTTGAGCAGTTTATCATATCAAAATTCATATAACAAGTATATTAAAAATAAGTCTTATTTTGTTAGGTCAGTTAAGAAGCCTGTAAATACAATTAAGCCTTGCATAAATTTCAACCCACTTAAGATTAAGAAAAGTTCAAGATTTATATTATATTCTACTCATAAAATTAAAGGTTTTCTCAACTTCAAACACAGAGGTACCTAATAATTAAAGGTTAGGAAAAGATTTTTCCAATCAAATGGACCCAAGAAACAAGCGGAGGGGGGGGGGGAAGCAATCCTAATATCCAACAAATTGGACTTTAAACAAAAATCAATCAAAAGAGATGAAGGGAGCCACTTCCTACTCATCACAGGAGAAATCCATCAGGATGAAATCTCAATTCTGAACATTTATGCCCCAAATACAAAGGCATCCACGATTGTAAAAGAAACATTACTAAAACTCAAATCACACATAAAACCGCACACACTTATAGTGGGAGACTTCAACACTCCACTCTCACCACCAGACAGGAACACCAGACAGAAACTTAACAAAGAAACAAAGGAAGTAATAGAAGTTACGGTGCAATTGGACCTAACAGATGTCTATAGAGCATTCCATCCAAATACAAAATAATTTACCATCTTCTGAGCACCACATGGAACCTTCTCTAAAATCCACCATATACTTGGCAACATAGCAAACCTCAACAGGAACAAAAAAAATTGAAATAACCCCCTGTATCTTATTAGAACACCATGCCTTAAAGTTAGAATTCAACATCAACATGAATTACAGAAAACTTACAAACTCATGGAAATTAAATAACACCCAATTGCACAATTCTTGGGTCGAGAAAGAAATAAAAAAAGCAATTAAAGATTTCCTAGAATTCAATAAGAATGTTGACACAAAATACGCAAACCTACGGGACACTTTGAAAGCAGTGCTAAGAGGAAAGTTCATAGCTCTAAGTGCCCACATGAAGAATCAGAGAATAATCACCCTAGAGAATTAACAGCACAACTGAAAGCTTTAGAACAAAAAGAAGTCAATACACCCCGGAGGAGCAGACATCAGGAAATAATCAAATTGAGGGCTGAAATCAATAAAATGGAAACGATGAGAACAATACAAAGAATCAATATAACGGAAGAGTTCGTTCTTCGAGAAAATCAACAAGATAGACAAACCTTTATCCAAACTTACCAAACAACAGAGAGTGAACATGCAAATTAATAAAATCAGGACTGAAAGGGGGGAAATAACAACAGACACAGAGGAAATCCAGAGAATCATCAGGTCATACTTTGAAAACCTATATTCCTCAAAATTTGAAAAATCTAAAGGAAATGGACAATTTTCTGGACAGATTTCACCTACCAAAATTAAATCAAGAACAGATAAGCAAATTAAATGCACCTGTAACCCCTAATGAAATAGAAGCAGTCATCAGAAGTCTCCCAACCAAAAAAACCCAGGACCAGATGGCTTCAGTGCAGAATTCTACCAGAAATTCAAGGTACAGCTAATATCAATTCTTCTCAAAGTATTCCACACAATAGAAGCAAAGGGTCATTGCCAAACTCTTTTTATGAGGCTTCAACAACCTTGATACCCAAGACACAACTAAGAAAGAGAACTACAGACCAATATCCTTCGTGAACATTGATGCAAAAATACTCAATAAAATAGTGGCAAATCAAATCCAAGAACACATCAGAGAAATCATCCACTATGATCAAGTAGGCATCATCCCAGGAATGCAAAGATGGTTCAACATACAAAAATCCATCAATGTAATCCACCATATAAACAGACTGAGGAAAAAAAACCACATGATCGTCTCACTAGATGCCGAAAAAGCCTTTGACAAAATCCAACACCCCTTCAAGATAAAGGTCTAGGAGAAATTCGAGATAACAGGAACATACTTCAACATAATAAAAGCAATGTATATAATAAAAGCAAGCCAACAGCCAACATCAAATTAAATGGAGAGAAACT